GAGAGAGAGAGAGAGAGAGAGAGAGAGAGAGAGAGAGAGAGAGAGAGAGAGAGAGAGAGAGAGAGAGAGAGAGAGAGGGTGTGGTTCTTTCAGAGCACGTAAGCACACTTAGCAGAGATTGTGCTCATGCTGACAGATATTTGATTTGGGGAATTTTCAGCAACTTTATTTCTTTATCACAGTAAGTTTATGACTTCATCTTCATTTTTGTGTTTGTCAGAGTACCGCTCGAATAGAACGCCCAATCATTCATCATAGCTGTACGTGGTGCAAGTTTCAGTCCAGCGACAGCCATAATGACAGCGCGTTCTATTCGGGTGAAGATGGTAGCATTGCTGCATTGAGTGAATTTGAGTCCATTGATGAGAATGAGCCAGCGGCTTCCTTTTCCACCAGGGAATTAGAATTCAGGCAATGAAACCCTAAACCCATATGCTATTATGCTCCCTTTCTGGAGGACTTAAAACCCACTACATTACATGTGTCGCAGCATACCTCCATCCATCTCATTACGTCAGGATCTGAACTGAACTCGCGATCCAGCCAGCAGTTACTGCAGTCAATGTGTAGTTACTGCAGTCAATGTGTAGTTACTGCAGTTACTGCAGTCAATGTGTAGTTACTGAAGTTACTGCAGTCAATGTGCAGTTACTGCAGTCAATGTGTAGTTACTGCAGTCAATGTGTAGTTACTGCAGTGAATGTGTAGTTACTGCAGTGAATGTGTAGTTACTGCAGTTAATGTGTCCTTACTGCAGTCAATGTGTAGTTACTGCAGTCAGTGTGTAGTAGCGTACCATTCAGCCACAAGAGCTGAGTGCGTACACCTCCACCGATTTGATGCGTGCATTGATTCTGCCTTGTGTTTTCTGGTTTTGTAAAGAAAAGATTTCTCTCTTCATGAACAGCTGGAAACTGGGTCCACCACCCCTCGCATCTCTGGTACGCATGCAATCGCTCCCTCCCATTATGACCAGACGCTGCTGCCTTTCAGTGCCTTGTGTTTTGTAGTCGAGGATTGTGTTAGCGAGCGTTGTGGGGATGAAGACCCTGGTCAAGCGTTCAGATTCACGAAAACGGGCTTTCAATTAACTTCAATAGCAATGCAACTGTTTCGACGGCTTTCGTTTGAGACATGACGATTTGTTTCCAGAGCGCAGCAGCGACTGTGTGGTCGCTGGAACAGAATTGGCGCCGAGGTTTGCAAGCAGTCGCTCGCTACAGGTCCGTCGCCAGGCCTGTGGGCATTGCTGCACGGCACACGAAACGAAAAACGAAACGAAGGTATCTTCCCCCAGAAAATGGCCAGGTTCA